TTTTTGGAGGTCTGCCATCACATGTTGGGACTGAAACTCTACTCTTTAACTTTGAGTATTTGCTGGTAAATGTTGTCTCAGATGGTGTATCTTATTCAATACATACTTTTTATTGCTGAAATGTATTGTTGGATTTTTATTTTTATTTTTTTTTTTTCCCCCTTGGGGGGGGTTCTATTAATGTGATTGGTGTTTCTCACATTAGGATTAAAAGATGCAAAGTGTATTTGACTTGTAAGTCTGTCATCCATTTAAAACACGTTGTATTTAGACAATGCAGTAAAATTAGAATAGTATTGCAACTTCTTCCACAATTTCCTTTAAACCGAACTTTATCTTTGCTATAAGGTTACTAAAGATCAAAAACACGACAAGTCTCTGCAATTTAGTATTTCCTGCTGCACTTGGGATCGTTGTCTTGTTACATGCCTCAGTTTTTGCCATGCTTTAGCTGTCAGACAGATGGCCTTACGTTGAACTCTAGAGTACTTTGGGATATTTGGGTTATTTTAGTTCCAGGTGTCCAGATGTGGTAGGCTTTGTTTTTTGAAAACTTGTCTTGAATGTTTTCCTGTTGCGTATCTTTCATTACAGAATGATACACACTTGAACTTGTTTGGAAATGACCTAACAGACTCTCCAGAGTTTTAAAACTTTTGTATGACCCCTTAATTCCTATGAAAGCATTAAGTGTGTACTTATGTTTTCCCCATGCTGTTCCTGCGGTTGGGTGGAAGGCCATTTTGTAGTTTATCTGAGGTTTTACTTTTAAGACTTACACTTTTTTTAAATTTAAAGGTCATCTTTGTTTACCATGACTGTATCGTTTTCATCAGCTTTCATTTACGCTGAGAGTTATTACATCCAGCTGATAAAAATGCTAATAGCTTTGGTTCATTCTACTAACAAAACAGGCTGCTTGCCATTTTCATCCTTCCGTTCCCTAATCTTGAAATTGGGTGTGGTATTGCTAATTTCATTCTGCAAGAACATTTAAGGAAGAGGTGAGAAGGCTGTTCTTATTGTGTCCTTTCTTTGATGATGACTCTTACTTGTTCTTGACTTAAAATAATTTGGGTTTCATGACGGCCATACAAATGTGTTTAGGTTGACAATCACATGCATACTTGAAGTAATACTTCAGAGAACCATTGCTGATTAAAGTTTTCTTCTGGCAGGGTTTTATTCAGATTAAGCTGATATTATTATTATGATTATTATTTTATTTATTTATTTTAAAGGTTAGAGGTTAATATTTATTCACTCTAGCCAATCTTTTTTTAAATAGTTTTAATCTAACCTTATATTTAAGAATCTATTTATACACTGCACCACTGAATGCCTGGTGTGTAGCAAACACTTGTTATACACCAGCAGAGACTGATTCATCAAATGCTTAAGTTATTGGCTGCTGGGGTGTCTTGCAAGAAACTGGAAAGGCCGGGCTGTTATGACTCATTTGATTTATACAAAGGTCTCTTGAGAGAGGCTTCGTGTCAGTGTATTGTAAATGTGTTTTATAAAGTATTAAGTAACATTTTTCTGTGCAAAAAGCCGTGAGAATATGATTCTCATGTCTTAAGTCCCAGTGATGTCGAGTTATTTTAACATTAATGCAAATGCCAAGCCAGTAGAAGCCAAGAAGCAGGCAAGTGACATTTTATCTTATTTGACAATAGAAAAAGAGGACATCAGGAAAAAAAAAAAAACAACTGGCATAGTAGGCAAAGTAGGCATGAAGAGAGATGCTGATATCTAATCTGGCCAAGAAACAAAGGAAAACAACTGTAAAAATGAGTCTACTGTATAATAAACTAAAGTTTAGTTATACAAAGCAGGCAATTTGCAGTAGTTTAGTCATTCTTTAATTTACAATCATACCTTCCCCGTGATACATGAACGGACTGATTACTTGTAAATGGCCTCTTGTAGTACACAGTTGTATACACAAAAGTTGATGTCATTTTATTAATACTGTGTGCTTCAGTTTTCCCCCCACATGTCTTTTGACAGTTAAAAGCAACAACAAAAAGAATAAATACAGTCTAGTGAGAAGGGAAGTTTAGCTCAATCTGTCAGTTTTCCAATAAATAGGAAATGCAGATGGAAAATCAGAATGAGTCAGTACTGGGGGACAGACAGTATTTCTAAAACACAGGTGAGAGATTTTGTGTCACTGCATATTAGCTGGTGTTTTTGTAAGAGCCACACACACAAAAAACAAAAACCTCTAAACATTGAACTACAGAGCAAATGAATACAAATCCTGGAAAATCCACGATAAAAGTGCTTGTCAGCTACAACAGGAATATGATTGTAATATACAGTACACGTTCTGATTATGTCAAAATGAACTATACATAGAGGCATATATTACTCTTGCAAACTATATAACTCTCATTATTTGTATTCTGTGCAATGTTCAACAGCAACTTACAACAATAGGTTTTGGCAGAAGGAAACGTCACTGTTTGACCGGGAAGAGTCAAAAACAGAAAACAGCTTTGAGTGCTACAAGTTACAATGGTATAGCTAAGTTTGGCAAAGAGGAGGAGAAGGTTCAAACCGACCAATTAGAAAAATAATTTGTCAAACAAATTATGTAGAAAAGAAATTTGTAAATAAATAAATTCTTTTGCAAAAAGGAAAAAAAAAAAAAGAATACAGAAAATAATATGTACTTATTACGACTTTGTTCCACTGATGTTTCATTCATTCAGTTAACTACTTGGCGTGACCTTGTTTCTGTTTAAGTGCTGGAATATGTAGGCTATATAGACACCAAATCCATATATATATGTATAAATATATACATACGTGTAAATGTGCATATGCACAACTACAGTGAATTGTAGGTATGAATATACGAAAGTGCAAGGACTAGTTACTATTTTGTTTTGCTAGTAGGGCTCCGACTTTAGGGTGAAGGGGAGCTGGTTCAGATATTTAGCCTTTTTTTTAACTACTGTGCTTTTTGATGCTTGTTTTTGGATCCCAAAATGAAACAACTTGCATATACGTAAACTCATCTTATGGCTAAATAGAAATAAAAAAAATTAAAAAAAACACTGATAAGAATTTTAATTGTGCAGTGATCATGTCAGACTGATAAGGTGCAGAATGAGAATGATAAGCAGTTCCTTTTAAAACAACACATTCCTGAAGTTTCTGCAGAGTTCGCTGATGAATATTGTAAGGCAGTGACAAGAAGATCATTTTCAGAGCACACGAACATGCAACGTTGTTCAAGGAAAGACCTGAGCATTTTTTTTTTACTCATAAAGCATCATGTTCCTTTCAGGAAACTGGGAATCTTCATTGCGTTGCCTTGTTTGCTGGATACTGAGTGTTGCCCATCTGCATTGCCAAAACAATTTAAGACTGACAGGCTGTGAAGATACACTTGGGGAATAGAGCTAAAAGGCCTTTGAGCCAGGGGTTAATTTCCTGTTCATTTTTTCCTGTCGATAGTTGGTTAGTTTTAGGCTCTAAGCCAATCAGAGTAAACTATTATGCTTATACCTAATCTATGTCATTCATACACACACACATACACACAAACTTTTTTTTTTACTGTGACATTGATACTAATCACAAATATAGCCAAGTGTTTGTGCAAATAATTCCCATGCGCTAATAGCTCAGGCTTCTAGCTGCCTAAAGCACTCTGTTTCCCTCAATAACTTGACATTTCAAGTTATTAAGCTGAAATTTTTAGGTACCAAAATTGAATTATTGATTTTCAGGCACGCAGCTCTGTGAGAAGCGCAACACTGCCCATCTGCTGATAAAGCCCATCTCAAACCTCAAACTAAAACAGCTTGTTTCAGACAGAATCATGCAAAGCTACTCTAGTAGAGTCCGAGAATAAAAACATGAGGTGGAGAGAAGCATTATAGCTCAGCTTTATGGAAAGTTAAAGTTAGACAAACCAAAAATGACAAAATATAGACATGCCTAATTGATTGTTTAGGTGTTTTTGATATATGCATGTCTGTCTATGGACCTATTTTGCCATGTAACAGCAACGCGACTGTACAAGATGTAGTCATCTAACTTTGCAGGTGTATAGTTGAGCAGAGGCTGTTTCACATTCTTTTAAAAAAAAAAACGCAAGTATTTGAAAGTCTCTATATGAGATATGTTTACCTGCTTGATTGTTTTTAAAAATAGAAGTAATCCAAGAACTCACTGCCGTTTTAGTAATTATGGTTTCTGTTCTTGCAGTAGTCAGTAGTTTTTGTGATATCTAGCCAATTTTGTCTTTGAAAACATTAAAATTGCATGTTTTGGAAGTTCGTTCTTTATCATTTCTGGACATTAAATCCTTGAAGTATTTACAGACAAAATGAACAGGAAATTAATTTGTGGACATGGAGCCTCTGGGAAGTGTGCAGGCATGTTGCAACTTTTTCTCTGCAAGAAATATGTGACATTGCTTTTTAAAGCAGGAGTTGGTGGTGGCGGCGACATCTTCCCCTCAGTCTACTGCAGATATCTGTAAACTTTAAAGCAATGATTGCCAGAGTCTGCAACAGCCACGTGTCCATCTGAGGTGAGCGCTAGGCCCTGGGGGCCGTACAGCGGGTCTGCCGAAGTGTTAATGTAGGATAAGAAGGACCCTGTGCTGTCAAACACCTGATGCAGAAAAAAAGGTCAGAATTTTCAGCAATTCTGTCACAACAAAACACAGCAACAGCGTTAAAATTACATCTACACGTAAACTGCAAGCCGCCTCACCTGTATTCTGCTGTTACCCCAGTCAGCTACAATGATGTTTCCATTGGCATCCACAGCCACGCCAGTGGGAGCGTTGAATTGGCCGTTCCCTTCGCCATGAGAGCCGAACTTGAACAGGAACTCCCCATCAGCGCTGTACACCTGAGGCAAAAAGCCAGAAAAGTTTGGTCAGCATCTTCATGTGCACGGCCTCCCTTTAAAAGAAAAATCACAGCTAAGGTGGCAAACTCAGACATAGGTCGTCTTTTTTTCTTACCTTCACAGAGTGATTGTGAAAATCGGTCACGATAATTTCATTCTTGTTGTTCACGGCAACAAAATGCGGGCCTGGATGAGGAGACAGAAGCAGGTTATGTTGGTAGTTAAAGCAGAGACTGTTTCCTGTTGTTTATGCATTGGCTTCACTGTTAGTAGGCTGACTAAATGTAGTTTTCATCTATAGTTTGTCTAAAGCTGCAATTATAAAATAGGAAACCCTTCTGATTGGACGCGAGTAGTACGTTGTGCTTCTTTTCATGCAACATTTCAAGTCAATACTGAAAGTTAAATTATATGGAGAGGCTCAAGGCCTAAATCATTGTTATGCATGCACTGCCCAATCACAGAATATTTATATTGTCTTAGTCATACTGTAAGTGCTTACACTGATGGTTGGGTTACTCGTCCAGTTAACTTATCATTAAGCAGACCTCGAAACTGATTATCTTAAAATACCACAGAATGAGTTATTGGAAACAGTAAAATTCATTCACACCGATCTCTCTTTTCATAGCCGTTTTTCACCAAAAGCACAATACACACAACAAACTTATCTTAAAAAAAGAATAATTATGATTCATGTAATTATTACAAAGGCATCTCATCTCTGATCATTGCTGCACAGGCACAGCTTCATCCTGCAGGGGTTTTTTTTAAACAATCAGAGATCTCAGGAGGTCAGACACATGATCACGGATTTGGGTTAGACAGAGGGCACTGCACTGTGGGATTAAGGTTGCAGCAAGGCCACACTTAGTACTTACTGAAAACTGGGCCAGATTTATTTATGTTTGGGCCAAGTTTTTCTGAGTTGGAAAACAGAAGGAAGAACAGAAAGAAAGAAAGAAAGGAAGGAAAAAAAAATAGCTAGTCAGAGATAAAGACATCCAAAGAAGAAAAAGCTCAGGGAGGTGCAGGGGGGTGCTGCTGCCCGGCTAATGCAGTAATACCGTGGGAGTTACGGGCACACAGCCAGTGTTGTCTTTAATATTCTTCATGCTGTTTGCTGCCCAGAGCTGACGCTTTAAACTGCGCCTACATTAGTAATGGTGCTCACAATGAGGGTTTTTAGTTGCTAATACTAAACAATGATAAAAAACACATTGCAAACACTTTCAAAATCCTGATTTACTGTCTACTAAAACAATCCTGTTACTTACACTCAAAAAATAATTATGCATAAAATGAAGTAATCTGATTACATGTAAATTTTCCATGTAACTACAGTGTACAACATTACATTTAATGGAATATGGTCAAATGAAATTTACTTGAATGGTACACATTGAGTTTATACCAACCATATTTACCTTAATGATTAATTATTTTACTAAATTAACCTTTGATTTTTATGTATTTCACTGTTGTGCAGTCAGATATTTACCTTTGCTATTTTCCTTTAAAGAAATATAAAAAATGTTATCCTAAATAATGGAAGTGTGTTTTTATTTCTTTCAGTATATTTTAACTCACTTTAATAATTTTGCCAAATATTCAAAATTTCATAACAGATGTTTGCTTGTCTCCTCCCCGTCAGTGGCTGCCTCCTTCTCACCTGCAAACTGTCTGTCAGAAGTCCCTCTGCCTCCAAACTTGGTCACAAGTTTCCCATTGGATTGAAAGATGAAGACGCAGCAAGCCTTGTTGTCCACAGTGATGATGTGTCCGTTCTTATCCACAGCCACACCCTTGGGACCCATGAGCCGTCCTGCACCGATCTTATTCTGTGATGCAGAGAGACAAAAAAGTAGTTTAGTACTTTTTCAAGCTGAAGGTAAATGGTGAGGCAGAAAAACACCAAAAGACTATTTTTTTAATAGATTTCACATATGAACAACCCTTAACCCCTTAGCAGTCCAATTAGTCCCCTAAACCATCCAATGTACCGTGGGCGGTACGTCCGACTGCTAACAGGTTAAATGAGGCATTTAGTGCTGTTCAGCCTGCACAGAGATCTTACCTTAAACTTCCCATCAGGAGAGAAGATGCTGACCCACCGATTGTCATAGTCGGCCACCACAATGTCACCGTTCATGTCAACAGTGACACCCGTTGGTCTTTGCAGCTGCCCTGGAGACCGACCTCTGACCCCAAAGCGCATCTTGAATTGGCCGTCATTGGAGAAAACCTGCAATTGGGTCCATCAAAGCAAACAGTTTTAGAGTGTACGGCAGAGTACACTCGTCTGAATATCCACTTCTGTGCAATCACTGTGAAACACGTGGCTACACTGCCTCACCTGTATGCACTGGTTGTTGCTGTCAGCCACCACCACTCTGCCATTACTAGAGGCTGAGATCCCCTGGAGATTTGTGAACTCGCCTTTCTCTCTACCCCGAGAACCTGACAGAAAAAAAAAAGGCAAATACTGAAGAAATGTGTCATTTACCATTTTCACATTAGTCTCCAGTCTTATACACTGTGCACTCATGCCGATCGTTTACCAAACTATGACATACGTTTTGTTGGATTCATTTCCTATCTCCCAGGCTTGGGAAAGTTTGTTTAAAGCGGCAAAAGAGTTCAAAAGTAAATTACAGAAACTTGCTTGAGTTAAATAATATGAAGAAGTTGCAAAACCTTTGAATGCCAGTGACATTTTTTTTTATCTCAGCCAAAGCCAAATTGTCTATAAAAAAAAATCTATAAAACAATCAAGCCAGATCAGTTTTATTGTGTCTATTGGCATGAACTGGAAATTGCAACTGCCTGGAGCGGAGAGTGTCAATTTAAAAGCCTGTCTTGTGGCTTAGAAGCTAATAAATGATGACATAAGTATTCTTGATTTGTAACAAAGATAATGTAACTTGTGTAGGACATAATTTGCTTTTCCGTGTCTCTCTTACCCACTCTGTAGATGAGCTCATCTTCAATGGGGTTCTCCTTTTTCTTAGTCGTGCTGTACATACTGGAAGGCCGTCGCACTGCCTTCTGCCGTATGTGGCCCCCCGTGCCACTGGGGGACTTCACCCTCCGCTTCACATCGTCTGGAGATTGCGGAACATCTGACGGCTTAACTGCTCGCAGTCGGAAAGGGCTGCCACGTACCGGCTGTCCGTACAGCAGCAAAGAAAACGAGTACTCTCCCTCAGAGCGTAACGTGTAGCCCACCTCGTATGTTCCATTCTTATTGTCCGTTATCTCCGTCTCTGCAGCCCGGCTCCCATCAGCGAACGTTATCTCTGCTTTTAAAACTGCGTTTCCTGTCCGCACCAACTCCCCATCCTGCAGATAGGATTCACTGAGTCAATTTCCGAACAACACAAAATCTTCAATATTCACACGGCAGCCACTAAAGAAGCACTTTCCACACATGCATGAGAAGCTTATAATAGATTTCTTTTCATAAAAGTAATCCCTGAAAATTGCATCGGTGACCAGAGTGAAATAACTTTTGGAAACGAACTCTGATAAATGCTATGAATTAAAATGAAAAGCTAAATTGAAATAGCCACACACAAGAAAAGCAAATAAATGTCAGTAAACCCATTAGAGCCAAAGCAAAAAGTAAATGGCTTAATTTACACATATAGCAGAACAATATTACGATAGTAAAGCAACATAATTCAGAGACAGTACTTTGTCTTTTGTTGTCACAGTAATAGTTTGGTGTTGCCCAGTTGCTGCATGGCGGAGGCCCTCTCCTGTGGCCACGGAAGTGTGAGCCACAGCTGCTGTGGTGAGGAGAACACCCAGGTTCTGGATGGAGCGCCGCAGGCCCTCGGTCTCCACCTTGAACACATAGCACATTTGAATTTTGAGTTTCTTAATACTTTTTATTATTATTTTTTATTATTACGTCTTTCTGTGTCTGCAGCTGGTAACTACTAACAAGCTAATGGTACTTTACGACTGGGTTTATACATTTGTTTTATTACCCACACCGAGGAGGTAATGTTTTTGCAGCATTGCATGCCTGCTGTTCAATCTGCTGGTATATGGGAATTGTAAATATTACTTTTGCTGCACTACAAGCTTCTTTCATTTCATTTAAAAAAAGAAAACAAACTGAATATATAACAAAAATCCTATAAAAGTAAACACTGCCCACAGATTGAGCTGCCTTGGTGGAGATTTGTCCTTTCTGAGTACTGCTTGTTATACATGTAGTCAAATTACAGTCACGTGAAAAATAAAAAATTTCAACAGGACTCACGCAGACCTGCGATGCGACAATGTAGGAGAATCAGTCAAACCACCACAATAAAAACAGAGGTCACAACAGACAGCAGTCGTTACCTGGCAGTCCAGGTGTGCATTCTGATGAGGTTTCTCTGGGAAGTCATGTCTGGCCAGCGCGTTTACTCGCTCACTCATTTGCTTCTGAACCAGCAGCACCTATTCTTACAGGAGATGCATACTGTATTTTATTTAAAGTCCTTCCCCCCATCTGTACCTTTTAATACAGAACAATATAACTACTGAAGAACAGACATTCTGCTACGTTGCTGCATGAAACTTGAGAGTCAAATCCTATAATCCTGTTTGACAGGTTGCTGGTATATAAAAATTTGCCTGCCCACCTCAGTAGCACTACCATGGCTGAGAGCTTGCTCTGTGAAACTGCAACTGTTCTGAATATGTTCCTTCCCCTGGAGGAGAGCTGAAAGCTGGGCCTGCAGCACCTGTGCTCAAGAATGAGAAGGAATAAGAGAAAACGGACACAGGAGGGTCAGTAGAGCATGTTAAAACAATACTGAAGATGAGAAAAAGCAGCTGAATACATTAAAAAAGAGGAAAATTAGGAATTAAATGTCAAGAAAGCAATAAATCTTGGTATTAAGGACAAAAACATATGCATGTGCATATACATGAGTGAATGAACTGGTCATCAACTAACTTTCTGCTTGGTACTGCAGATATTCTCCAAGTCTGTGATGAGGGCCGTCTTGCGCTGATGCAGCGCCTGTTCCAGCTCTTCAAATGTACTTGTAATTTCCGCTACTGCCTCATTCTTCCTTTCACTCAGCTGTCGAGAGATCTCACTCACCAGCTCAATGGCTGCTGTTAACTGAGGTAGCCTGCAACATGAAACAAGGTGAAAATGTATTCCACAACAGCTGAACACAATGAAAATGTCTGACAGACGAGGCACGGTGTGCACAGATCGCCTAAGGTCTGGACCAAATGCTTAAGCTGCTTAAAGCTTTCCCGAGGTATCAAGACCCCCACCTGCTGTGTATGGCATCCAGCTGTGTCTTCAGCGCAGCCTTGTGCTGTTCCACCACATCCCGCAGAGGAACAGTCATGTGCTCCCTGTGCTCGCCCTCTGTGCACTCCAAACACATGGCTGTCTCACATGACTCGCAGTAGAACTCCATCACCTGCAGAGGGAGACAGAGCGAGTCATTCTCTTGCAAAAAAAGAAATTAATGTAACATTCAGTTCCTTTTACACCAATTACTGCTTGAAATAACATGGAAAGGAATTTAGGTAAGGTGATGACTTGAGTAGCATATCTCAAAAGAGCTTCTCACCTTTCCTTCGTGGTTTGGGCAGCAGAGCGGCTTCCCTGCAGCTGCAGCACTGACTGATTCCAACACACTGCAGGCCTCTGGCCGCGAGCACTCTGGGTCTCGTTGAAGGACCTAATGCAATACATACTTATATTCAGTGTGGAACAAGGAGGTATTTCTTTATTTTGTTATTTGAAATCCGCATTTGAATTATCTGGCTAATGCATTGTGTTTTCAAACCTCCATAAGATTAGTGATGAAGAAGTTGTTCTGCAGGGCACAAACTCCTTTCTCTGGCAGGATAGATGTCTGCCGGCACACTGGGCATGAGAGTGTCAGAGACTCAGGGGGAATGTAGGTCTGGAGACAGCTGAAGGAAGAGGCCAACAAATATATAAATATAAAACTTAGATAACCAATACAGCAGAAAAAAAAAGAAGAGGAAGGTGTGAGGAAGACAGAGCAATCACATAATAAAGAGAGGCAGTGCCTAAATAGTGCTCCTGTCACAACAAATAAGGCAATAGAGTGGATTTAAATCAATACAGAGCCCACAGGCTTGAGAGAAAACATGTACACTCTCTTTGAGTAAGTGAGCATCTGGCAAATCAATTTGACTAACAGAGTCACTAAGAGGCAAAACAGGTCAATCATGAATACATGTGAAGTGCATTTTTTAAGGCTTTTTTCCGTTTGTGCATCTATGTGTGCGTTTGTGTAGTTTGGATTCTGGCCTGGCTTCACGCATGCTAGTAGTCACATCTATCCTGCTTGGCTCTACATGCTAAAGATTTTTCCAGGTTTGGTTAACAAGCCCACTGGAGTGTATCAACAACATTAGACGCTAACAAGGGGAAAAACCAAAGCCAGTCAGTAACTTTCAGGTGCAGTATGCAGACTGCAATGCATTCCTTGTCTACAGCCCAGGTGCCCACCCTCAGGTGATGTACAGCTGTATTTCTTTAGTTTCTGTAGTTAATGATTTGGCGATTAATACGGTAAGAAACCCTGAGTCAGTTCTCAGGATAAGTCTCTGTGTTTTTACAAAAGTATGTTTGGCAGCTGCTTAGGCTGCATGCTGGAACAATTATATTTAATTTATGACAGCATACAAGCTCGTATCAGCCAAGCCTCCCTGTTTCTGCTTCTGAGAACAACTGAGAGGTTGAACAAAAACATTTTGTCTATCAAATATTTTGTCAAAAATCAAACATGAAGCTCGCTGGGAGCAGCAGGCAGGGATTCAAGGGTAAGAAAATGTCATTTATCTATTCTAATTGCTTTTACTGTTGTTGTAAAATGTAATTATTTTGGCATCATTTCTATATTATGAAGTAGTCGTATCCTGAGGTTATATGCAAAAATGACAATCACATACAGAGGACATCGGGAGCAAAATGAAGCAAAGTAACACCCTCCCAAAAGGAATAGGCCCAGCGGGGGTTTGCACCACACCCCTCTTTAAAGTACATAAACCCACCCCAGCATTAAAACATCTGTCCGGAAATATTGCGTATAGCCCTAGACAAAAATCTGTTCACCTCAGCAGGACTCCACATCACATGCTATCCAGTTAAACCAGGGATTAAACTTGCCCTCCGGTGGGCAAATGCAGCTCAGACTGCATGGGGGAAAAAAGAGAATTATCTCATACTGTGTGGCTTTTAAAAAGCCATTCGATAAATATTTGGTAGATCGTGGGTTTAGGAGCAAACCAGTCTGAAACATAATCCTGGTTTTCTTCTGCAGCCAACAACATGCCCCTTCTTCATTCTCCATCCTCCCACCATGACCCACAACAAGCTTTCAAAAAGCTTCCTCCTGCTTGGCTCGGCTCTAGCATTGTCACCTGAGGGGGTGTCATCCTTCCCAAGAAACTGTGGATTGAGCCACTGTAATTGTGTCTCTCAACAGTGAGCCTTTTTTCAGACTGCAGTCCTTGACAGTCCCTGATGCTGAGGAATGCACTTATCCCAGCAGCGTCAGTGACGAGAAGCGCTCTGAGCTTTTTAATTGTGTGTAGGGATTTGCAATAGATGAGGTTCCTCTATTGGCCAGCGTGTAGGTATGACAGGAATTCTATGATAACAGGGTAAGAGACAGGATTTACTAGAAGAGAGACAGGTATGGTAAACAATGTACTGTAGCTCCTTTGAATGGCCAGAAATAGCTACATGCAGCAGACAGTGCGAGCAGCAGTAATTAGGACTCCTGACCGGTGTCATTGACGCAGACAGCACAAACATTAGTTACCTTTCACAGAAGGTGTGCAGGCAGGGCAAGACCTTGGGGTTGCGGTAATGATCCAGGCAGATGCTGCAGACCAGAAACTGCTTGTCTATCTGACGCACCACAGGGCTGGTACTTCCAGCCTCGCGCTTGGCCATGGCAAAGGAAATTTAAAGCCACGGACAACGACAGCAGTTAACCTAACAAGAGAAAGAGAAAGATGAAAATATTAAAGAAAAATGCTGCACTCCAGCTTTTTCTTCGGTCTTCTTTGCTGAGCTATTGTTCAGCAAACTTTTCAGAGAAGGTACCAGGAACCAAAGCAAAACAAAGCTGTTTAATGCCTTGATCAGAACAAGCACACTGTTATGCAGTTATTTCTAGGTTAATACCAGAGCAACGTCATCTGAAAGAGAGCTGAAAGAGGCTTGCAGTTCATGCTCAGCAGATGCACATGAACCATTATGGCCAAATGCGTGAGTAACACATTAAAGTTATAAAATACAAAAATAAGCAAAGAAGGCGTAAGAAAGAAAAGGCTTTGTAACGAGCAAGTAAGCACTCAACAAAAGGGTTGTTTTTTTGTTTTTTTTTACAAATCCACAATAATCCATTGAAACAGTCGTAGTTTTGAACATACAAAAAAAAAACATAAGAAGTTTAAGCTGGAATAGGCTTAATTTCTTATTTTATGAACCACACAGCTACATTTTCACATTCACAGCAAACAGCACACCTCTGTAGGTAGAAGTTACATGAAAGCCAGAAACCAACTGTAGGGTGACCAGAACAGAGAAGTCTGTTATTGTTCTCACATTAGGAAAAAAAAAGCTATATATATGATGCAAGGTATGGATATTTTGCCTAGCAACACAAACCCCTGCTGCCTCCACATGGCCCACTTTCACATTCATCAGTGCAAGGTCAGCAAATACGGCAAAATTAATTACAGCAGTAAAAAAATGCTAGTGAAGCATCGCTTGCAAGATCAGGTGTTAACTGAAAACAAGCATCCAGTGCAAATATTGTACATACGTAACAAGAGGTCATAACCACACAGCTTGACTTGATGCATGGCTTGAATTTGCACTTTTGTTGAATGCTGTTCATATCATTTTCATCTCTCTGTTGCTAACAGCAATGAATTCAGCCACATTTTCTCAGTAGGTCAGCACATGCATTATTCATGCATCAGGCATGCACTCATGTGCTCATACAGATGGAGGGGTGAGCGAAGAGTAGTACATGCCTCAAGTAAACACACAATGATAGGAAAGCAGTTATAAACATTACACACACACACAGACACACACTGACTATCATTATCCCCCCACCAGACTTTCCCTCCTGTCTGCACATCTGTCGCTGCTGGATCTAATACAGCTCTCAATCCCCTGTCCCATCTCCGCTCGTGTCCTATTGTTAGTTGTTGCCCACCGAGCATGAGCACGCGCACGGACACTCACACACCAGAGTGGGTAAAAGCCAAGCTGTATCTTTCCAGTCTTTGCACAGAGGATCCAATGACATACAGTCCCCACACTGGGAGGGTAAAGGTCATATCTTAAGCCATCAACTCCAAGAACAACATGTCACATTTTTACTCGGGTTAAAGACACACAGGGTGTCAAACGGAAATGATTAGCGGTAAGTAGCTTATGTTTTGTCTAAATCGAAATATGCATTGTTCTCCATAAGTCCTCTGCTTTAAACCGGCATTTCAAGAGTATCTAGTTGTCTCTGCTGGACTCCAATGAAAAGAAGCTGGAATGTCTCCCGAGTTTAGAAATAATGGGGGGATCAACTACAGGATGTATTCAGTTCTTCAGCACAGTTCTCACACTTCTCCGTCATTCTGTTTTTCTGTACTAGAACACACCGATACTAATATCATCTGTTATGACGTCTGTCTAAATTTAGACTCGTGTATTAGTGACTAGACGAGGAAGCAATGACAGTGAGGCTAAAATAAGACCACCGGTCCTCGGGACAGCAGGACAGTGAGGTGATTTGTGTCCATTCATCTACTGCTGGTTTCACAGCACTTTTCTTGGGTGGACCCCTGTGAAAGAAGAATGCGGAGTCTGAAAAGTGCCAAATAATAAGTACTCTTCCTTAAAACACTGGAATAAAGATTAAAGTAGCAGTGTGAGATGATGCAACTTTCAAAAAAGAAACTTAATTTAACATGTTTTTTTTTTTTTGTATCTAAACTATAGCTGAGGCAAACCTTTTGCACTTTCGAGCTTTAAAATGAACTTGATGGAGACATGAAAAGCAAACGCTGTAACATCAAGAAGATTTGACCGCCGTGGATGCACATGAATGAATACACTCGTGCGTGTACACGGTTACATGAATTCAGCAGACCAAGTTTTGACACGGGCCCCATCTTCATTCATGCTCACTTAAACTCCTAAGTAGGCCACGATGCTTAGTTTTGATGGTCTAAAGTATCCATGACCAGTTTTTAACTGACAGGCTTTAAAGTGAGTGAAGGGAAGCAGATTTAGAATTTAAACTCAGCAGTTAAAGGCACTGGGATGGGATAAAGCCAAACACATTCAGGATGCATGAAGAAAAATTATGCATGAAGAGGACGCGTCTTTGAGAGAGCTGCCAACTAATACCATAAAAGCAAAAATGTGTCATAATTCTCCTGGCCATTATAAACACAGTAATAATAGCAGCAATGCTGCTGGTGACCTTAGATTAAGTAATTCCCCAAACTCGCAGTATTATAGTATTTGAGTGCTGAGCTAATTGTTTTTGTGTGTGCGCTTAAGCGCATGTGTCACGTTCTGTTTACTGTTGGCTTTACAGAACACAAAAGAGACCATGTTCTTCGTCTCATTCACGACCGAAACCTCTGCTGGTGCTTTACCGTACCACAGGATCCTCACAGTTTGGGTGAACTCTCTCTTACAGAACACACATGCAGATAAACCTGAAAAAGTGGCAAGACAGGATATCAAAATGTCTTCTTCTCGCTTAAGAAGCATGGTGGGAGAGAGATGGGTTAGAGCACGAGACATTTTAACAGGCCAGAGAAATAATGCAGGAGAAGTATGATACTCTCTGCTGTCTTCTCACTGTGATACACCTGTGCAACACCAACAGATAAGAGCTGACAGCCTGTGTAAACACACAAAACACCAAAACTCCACTGTGATGACAGGTGAGCTGATACTGTAAAGTTACACACACACACACACACACACACACACACAGGCAAACATGGACATGAAAACAAAAACAAACAAACACAAAGTCGACAGAGACACTACCTACTGTCGGTGAAGTGGAGTACATCTGTCTAGAAGACTTCATGGCAACTCTGTGTTAAGCCACTGTAGCACTCAAGAACCAGCACACGCCCTGAGTCACACACTCTTGCCTTCTAGTCTCTCTCCTCTGACCGCTCTTCCTTTTCCCTTTTCCTTCTCTCGCTTTTCCCTTTTCCATGCAAGGCACACGCACTGAAGAGGGCTGAGCGGGGATGACAACAAAGGGTGGGACTGTAAATTGAAAGTCCCTCCTACTGTCAGTGCCGTTTACAAGCATGAGCTCACTCTATGCCCTCCTACTGCTGTGCTCTGATTGGCTGGGAAACCTAAACCAGCAAGCAAGATGTATTGCATCATGGGCCAACAATTTGCGCTGGACTGGGGGGTGTGAGTGTTGGACAGAAAATCTTAAAATCCAAAGAACACAAAAGTCCTGCTGAGTAATAATTAAATTTGTGAAATACTTTGCACAATGATTAGAATATATGTTATATTTGTATAATCTAGTATCCAGTTATGAGGAATTATGTCATTACTTGGCCATCCAAGCATGCAGATGCATGCTTGCAGACACATTTAGGGCAGCCAAATAAAACAGACTTATGTAATTCATGAAGTCACTTACAAAAAAAATAACTTTAAGTGAGAATATCAGAGCATATGCCCTCTCCATCTAGTATCAAATTACACATATGCACGGATTAAGACGGACACTCTGAACTGAAAAGGGGATCATCATTATGAAATTTCTTGCCGTGGGATAATTTTGCACTCAATCCCTTAAATGCCCCGTCCTTGTGATGTGGTCAGAGTATAATCTGAAGCCAGAGGTGACGATTCTCTGACAAAAAACATCAATCTACATTTAATCTGTTCGGATTAAGTCCAGTCTTCTCTCCTCCCACGCTCTACTTCCTCTGCACCCACCCACACACACACCTACCTTTCCAAAATTCTGTCATCCTAAACTCAAAACGCAGACTGATGTGCTGGATGTAACAGGAAGTAGAGGGATAAGAGGATGAAGACAGAATGAGATATGAGCAGCCGTCTGAAGGGAATTTATTGTTGCCTCATCGATGTTCTGGCACAGTTTTGTACATTTTTGTGTGGCATTGTATGGCACTTTCAAAGCGCAAGGAATTTTTGTAGCCACTTAAACAAGCGGTTTGAAAACTTGTGCAACTTGATAGTTACAAGATAGCACTTACTAACATGTCACCATTGGATGAAACAGTCTATGAGCACATCTTGTTTTTGGGTTCCATAGAGAGGGTATCTGGCGTGACCAATATACTCAATGCATCACTGCAGCATGGGCCGCCTTTTCAAAAAGGCCCTTGTCATCTCTGCAGTGAGCACTCGCACTCAAAAGCATTATTAGTTCTCCACAGTTTCTGCTGAAGCGACAGTTCGTTCAGAATATATGACACCTGCAGTTATTAAATGGGAAGAAGATGAACCACCACTGGTATCACCAATGAGCCCCTTGAAATAAGTAAAGGTAATATGAAAGGAGTGTGCCGAAAAAGACCTTTTTTCTCTTTTTTTATTCCAAATTACATAAAGATTGCAATTAAGTCTTTTTCATTTTTAATACACTAATGCTTTTGGATGAACACACAGCTGCAGTTAAACCTGCGACTTGCGTAATGTCAACAGTCAAAAGAAACCGTTCTGCCTCAGGGTCGGAGTAATGACAGCGATGAAAGGGATGTTCCCTTAAAACCCCAAAGAAATAAAATCCAACCCTCACTTCAGGGAGTGAACAAAAAATAATCAAGTAATCAAATAGCTTTCACGCTGCGTTTGTTTTTAATTATTTTTTTGGTGGGGCCTTTGGTGTTCTTTTTCTTTTTGTCAGTCCTGTGAGAACCGACACAACGTGGAAAATGATGTGACAAGAAATGTTACATAAGCGTGAGTAACAAGGGGTTGCTGTACTGTCTTGGAGCCAATAACATACCGACTCCCAGTGCTGCACATGGGGCTCCCAGTGCTGCACCGTGGCTCAGGGGGGGTTGGGAAGCGCATCTGTAACCGGAAGGTTGCCGGTTCGATCCCCGGGCTCTCTGTCCTGGTCGTTGTGTCCTTGGGCAAGACACTTTACTGGTGTTGGCCAGAGAGGCCGATGGCACAATATGGCAGCCTCGCCTCTGTGAGTGCGCCCCAGGGCAGCTATGGCTACAACTGTAGCTTGCCTCCACCAGTCTGTGAGAGTGAATGAATAGTGGCATTGTAAAGCGCTTTGGGTGCCTTGAAAAGCGCTATAGAAATCCAATCCATTATTACCTGATATTTTGCCATTTTTTGCTTGATCTTGTTTTCTGCTAGGTGCTCTACCTACATGACGTAGTGTTTCTCTGCCAAACTCTCTGGAAGCTCAGCTGACAACATTTGGAAAGATGTGGAAATGATGGAAATTCAGAGAATTAAAAAAAATGTATCAGAAGCAACACAAGGAACACGCAAATACTGCTGGTTATTTATTCTACAATTACAAATTGAACAGGAAAGATGAAAAGGAACATGATACTGAGATCTCAGAGACTGCTGTGATGGTGCTAGAGTTTGACAGCTCCAGGTCTGACACCATTCCTCAAACACACATAAGCTCTTCAATTCTGAGTCATACTATAGCCCCACAGCAGTCACACAGCAGCCAGCAATCACATAATAAAAAGCATACCTCACTCTCAAATTTGTTGTTACAAAGACATATACACCAGCATAAAATACAAAGATGGTGTGTATGGTCCAGCACGTGTAATCCCTCTTTGTGTGCTCAGCAACCTTTTATTCTCTTGCGCAGTCCACTCTTAAATCCCTACATACATGTATGTATTTCTATATATAGAGCTATCAGTTCTCATTCCCTTCACACACCAGGCACGTGCCCAGCATTGCAAACGCACTGTGCAAAAGCACAGGGATCCTCAGATGACCAGCATAAAAATGACTCCAACATTAAGAAGGAGCCAAACATTCACATCAGCCTCTCTTGTGCATAACTACCGCACATAGTATAGACCTGCAGTTTTTTTATGCATGCTCTTGTGCTACATTCATGTAAACTGGCTATAGCATCAACACTTCAAAGCATGGCCACAAAGTCCTCAGGGTTCGTTTGTTTTTTAGTATCCATCAGTATGTGCGAATGTGTGCAAAGTTACCAATGAAAAAAATAAAGAGCATCACAGCAAGTACTGACCTGCATAATGCTGGCTGTTACGCCTGCATAAGGTTTTATTATCTCAGGTTTTCTAACTAAATTCTCGACAAGTTATTGTCTAAATACAGATCATTAATTCATCAGACAGATTGTTTTAGGCTACGTAGATGCTGAGACTATATACATCTACTATTGTAAGAAAGACCAGTTACTGTCAGCATGCAGTAAACACAGGTATACTGTACATGAATGTCACTTGACTGAAGGGTAAAAAGAAAATAGTGATGCTTTCTGTCAAATACAGTGGCAGTTATCAAACTGTCTTTACACAACGGCTGGCCTCAGGGAAAGCAGGTGTGTGCATGCATAAATTGTGCAGCGGATGTTCCACTTAACACAAATTTCCTTTCGGCTTTGCAAACTAGTGGAGGCCAGTGTCTAAGTACCAATAGTGTTGACACATTTCCTTCTGCAATTATTCTGTAAATGTTAAATGTCACACTTTTTACTCCACTCTCTCTTCTTAGACCATTAGTTCTATATTCTAATTGTAAACTGCTGAAAAATTAAATTAAGTATGAGGACTTAATCTAAAATCTCAAAGGGTTAAGGATTTTGGTTCCCGCTGACCACTATGTCATTTAGTTTGTAAGGAATTACACGATGTATGTCATTAAAGAGTTTCAACTAGAATTATTTTTTTCAAGCTGTGTCCATGAGCATAAAAAACCTGAACTGGCAAGCAAACTTCATTTTCAAAATTCAAACAGAGCATCAGAATGAGGAAGAAAGCTGATATAAGTGACTCTGAATGTGGCAGATAGACTGATCTGTATCGATCTACTGGGCTTTTCCTGCACAGCCATCTCTAGGGTTTACAGACAATGCTCTAATAAAGAAAATAGAAAAAATGCTTTGTTGATGCCAGAGGCCAAAAAATAATGGGCAGACATGCAGTGTGCTCATAGGAAGGCAACAGTGACTCAAATAACCACTCGTTACAGCCAAAGATATGTAGAACGGCATCTCTCAGCGCGCAACATGTTGAACCTTAAAGCAGATGCGCCACAGTAACAGAAGAGTGCAGTCGGCTTCACTCATGTCAACTAACTTTGGACTTGTTACCTGGTCTGATGAGTCTTGATTTCTGCTGCAACTTTTGTATGTAAACAGCATGAAAGCATGAATCCATCCTGTCTTGTATCAACAATCCAGGCTAGTGGAGGCTGAATGTGTGGGGAGTAGGTTCCTGGCATATTTTGGGCCCCTTAGTGCCAACTAAGCATTGTTTAAATGCCACAGCCTACTTGAGTATTATTGCTATCCCTTTATGACAAAAGTGTAACTGTCTTCTGATAACCTGCTAGCAAAGTGTAGCTAATAAAATGGTCGGTCAGTGTATATAATCATAGTATATGAGCAGAAGTTGTTGTTTCAATTATTGTCGACCTGCTCATTCACTAATATTGCCACTATTGCCTACATGTTTTCATAGTAGTCTGTTAGCTAGTTACTGCATTTCCTTGCTTGTTTTGTGCTGGATGGCAATGTGCATCAAGGTCTGTCAAAATAATATTATAATTCCCCGCTAATGGATTATTTACCCATATTATTATGCGTTCAGTACTGGCATGTCATACCCCTAAACCCTTTCTGATGATGAACTTTAAACAACATCACATCATACTCTGAAGTCTTCATAGTTAACTCGCAAAACCTGCAGAATAATTGGCA